TTTTTCTTTTATAATGGCAGTTACATGCGTCACGGATGATGGCTTTAGGAATTGCAAAATCTATGATGAGGCACTGGCGTAAGAACACCTCCCCCCCCCCCCCCTCCGCCACCGACATTTTTGAATTTTGCATGCGTAGATATGCACGTACAAACATAAAAAAGTATGGTTGAACCCCCCCCCCCCCCCTCCCTTCAAGAAAGATGTTGAAAGCTCTGGTTACGTTCCTGTCATTAGGGATGTGCCTCGACGGCTGGCAGTTATTGTCCCCGTTGGTACATCGAGAACAAAACGCGGGGAAAGGAAAGCTTAAACTCTCTCCCTCTTTCCTCCTCTCCAGAAGAAGCAGTGTAATTTATGGTAACCGTCACGAGTGGGGGAGGCAGTCACGTCACGTGAACGTAAGCGTCACATATCGCTCATTAGGACACGAAACCAGGCAGCGCCGCAACCAGGGAGCTAACACGGTGGCTTTCTTCAGGGAATGGTAAAACGTCCAGGGTTAGTAAGATAGTTGCAAACGTCCCAAAACACCGACATGATTACGAGAGACACCGAAGTGGAGGGCTCCGGAAATTTCAACCACCTGGGGTTCATTAATGTGCTCCCAAATACAAGTATACGCAGCCTTGAGCATTTGCGCCTCCGTCGAAACTGCGGCCGGGATTCGATCCCGCGACCTGGCAGTTGAGTACCATAACCAGTAGACCACCAGGGCGGGTAAAACATTCAGTGTGTGCGCCAGTGCAAACACCGGCATATTCATTCCGCATGCTTGGGACTTTTCTTGATAAGTTATTTCTGGTGTCTCACCCTGCGGGTCACCTCGTGAATTCAGTCACAACAAACGGGGTGGTGTGATAAGGGTGCTATCATCTTATTGGGCGACGTAACTTTGCCGGAGTCACACTCCATTCCGTTTTCTTAGCCACGTCTTAATCTTTGTATCTCTCTGTTCTTTTCGTATTGTTATTCTGATCCGCGTTATTACATGTATAACTAGTCATAGGTGACTGTGTGTCTTGTCTCAAACTAGCGTAAATAACTGCTTTTCAATATTTATTTTTTAACCGTTTGCATACGACAAGAAACTGATTGATATGTGGGGTTTAACATCCCAAAACCACCATATGATTATGAGAGACGCCGTAGTGGAGGGCTCCGGAAATTTTGACCACTTGGGGTTCTTTAACGTGCACCCAAATTCGAACACACGGGCTTGCAGCATTCCCGCCTCCATCGGAAACGCAGCCGCCGCAGCCGGGATTCGATCCTGCGACCTGCGGGTCAGCAGCGGATTACCATAGCCACTAGGCCACCGCTACGATAAGGAACTGATTTCGCAAGCTTTATTGATGTAGCTTTATCTTCTGTCAGCGTGCCCATTATTTCCACCGCAACCACACCTTGAGATGACAATGAAGAAATTAAAAGCATTACTTTATTATCGCAATAATAATTATCTCTGAATTAATTTACGCCTGCTTCAATGCATCCCACGGCGGTCGACAAGCGCCAAGCATGAAAGGAAACGTACCAACCTTAGGCAGTCAAAAATTGTTCGCTCTAGAAAGCGAAGCTGTAAGCGGTGCATGCAGAAGGAGATTGGCCTGCAGTCAAGCCGAGAGCTGGAGCATTCTTCCGACTCCCTGACGATCGGGGAGCAAAAGTTACAGCCGAGGGTAAGATCACTCGCATGCATTTCCGATTTCCCACGAGGGGGCTTAAACACGCCACTGGGCCGTAAACTCGAGCAGCACGCTTCGATCGACCGTCGCTGTAGGTCTTTTTTTTATTATTATTATTCGCCGCACCAGAGAATGAAGCTGCTGGTGCGAAACGCTTCCGTCGGAATGGGAACATGGTTGAAGCGAATTACAACGTGTAGGATCACCCCGGACTCTGTCTTCCTTGTCAACGTACAATATGGCAGGCGATGGCAGTTACCCGGGGTCACAGATTCTGGTATACTGCGTTAACCCGCGACATCCGACACTTGCACAAGAAGCATCGATTTCATACTAGCTTTTTTTTTTCTCTCTCTTTTTCAACATAGTGCTCGGCCGTACGTGCTGGAAATCGAAACAACACAGGCACTCGCTGGTTAGGGCCACTAAATAGACAATTTGCAACGCGCGCCTTAAAGTGCTCGTGCAATATATTGGATATGACACGTGTGTATTCTGTAGTATACACACACACCGCCCTCTGAAGCTTATAAAACTAGCTGTCTGAGCTGGTTGGTTGATTTGATTGATATGTGGGGTTTAACGTCCCAAAACCACCATATGATTATGAGAGACGCCGTAGTGGAGGGCTCCGGAAATTTCGACCACCTGGGGTTCTTTAACGTGCACCCAAATCTGAGCACACGGGCCTACAACATTTCCGCCTCCATCGGAAATGCAGCCGGGATTCGAACCCGCGACCAGCGGGTCAGCAGCCGAGTACCTTAGCCACTAGACCACCGCGGCGGGGCGAGCTGGTTGGTTGTTCATACTTTTGGTAAACATAGAAAAAAATAGCCCCAAAAAGCAGGCCAGCCCTCGTCCTGTGTGTCTGTATTTCGCAGTCGCGCCTTTATTTTGCGCTGTTTTAGCTGTTAGTGATAGCTCCTGCTGTGTACCTCCTTTTTGCTTCGTGTGTGTGTTCCTCCCACGCTCCCAGTTCACTGAACAATTACGAATTAACTAGCCCACCTTTCTATCCTGTTGCACTGTTTCTCCTCCGCCTACTGAGAAGTTCACCGAGTGCAGATACACTCACCGTAGAGGTTTCTCCATGCGTGCACTGCTACTGAGCATGCAAGCACTAGGGAGTGGCCAACATTGGTATAACTACTAACGCGATGACTCTAAAGGTTGCACCGGTTATTACCGCAATGACACTAATGCATTGGTTAATTGATGCTACGTTCGAGTCACCTCTTGTGATATGAATCTGACAATCACCCTCTCTAAATGTATGCCCCGTCGGAAAACAAATTCGAAACGAAGAACCCGTAAATTTTTTTTTTAAATCCTCAACCCTGCGAGCTCTTCGGAATTACTTGTAGGCGACTTGTGGCAACAAGATGTCGTGCAATCAGTGGCTGATCCAGAAGACGCAGATGGTAGGGGCCATTGCCCCTCCCCCCCGAAGTCCCTGTCAGCATCCCCATCTCTCACTTCAATGCTTGTAGTCCACCTCCTATCGCCAATTAGGACAACCGAGTGATACCAATGGGAGCACACATTAATAGTATTAATGCTCTTAAGTGTTTTTTTTTGCTCGTAAAAACAGATAATTATCACAACCTCCCTCCCCACCTCTTCGGTGTTACTAGGAAACTATACCTGCTGACATTCTCATCACTGGAGTTTGGCAGTCGTGTTAAATGAAAGAAGTGAAGCTTTTCATGTGAAAAGCCAATCACAGCTTCGAGATATAGAAAAAGCTCCCTGCAGCAGTTATTGCGGCAAAATTAAATCAACCAAATTCAATGGTAAAACTGAAGCACTGATGAGCACTACAAGCAGTTGACCAAAATGACATCACTATTAAAAAAAGCAATCAGGGATGTAGCTCTTCAACATTCGTTAACATGTGTTCCATGCATGCTGTAAACGCAAGCGCAGCCCCCATACAGAATTTGACAGATTTCTCGAAGCACCCCCTATACTCAACTCCACTAAAATATGCAATGCTATTCCAGTAATTAAATTTACAAATAAAGTTTGTTTGCATTTGAATATGCAAAATTCTTCTGGCCTGTACTCGAGGAAAACACACAGGCACATAAGCTAAGCATTTGCATGATTACTTGAAATTTTATTTCATAAAATGTAATACTACTTGATATACACAAGCCGAGCTCAATGATTACATAAGAAAAAGAAAAAGATTTCATTAGAGCATGCCTTATGTTTGAAATTATTTGTAAACTACGAGGAACTAAAGCATACAAATGGCAAGCAATATCTTTCTGTACATACTGTTATGATGGGATGGCTTTATTCAACAATGGGCTGATGGATGAGGTGTGAATAGTTGTTGCGCCGATACCAGTTCGCTCCAAAGACTAGCGATTTCTGTCCCCTTTTGTCACTTAAGAGCAGCACTCCTCGCTTAGACAAAGTCTACTGGGCTAAATGGCTGTGCGAACTTGGAGTCATGGAAACGAGAGCGATTTAGGCGGAAGACGTGGACATGTTGAGTCTGCTTAGAATGGTATCGATGAGATAGAAGATGAGCTATTTAATAAATCTGGTCACTTCGGCAATCGATGGTGACAAAAGGGCCAGTTTAACGCACCAAAAACTTTTGGCTTGGGCCACACTTGCGAAGTCGCGTTCACAGCCATTTATGTCGCTTTTGTCATGCCACACATGCCTGCACCATGGGTCGTAGCCGATCGGGGAACGGGCCTGAGATGGCAACGCGTGAAACTGAGTTACGAGATGCGAATCCTCTACATAGCACAGAATTTGTGCGTTTGAAGAGCCCGCATGAGCAATAAATGGCAGAAAGAAAAAAATAAAGTGAGAGAGAGAGAGGTCAGCCAAAATTGTAGCATCCGGTTAGCTAGCCTACCCTAAGGGGAGGAGAAAGGTGAAGAAAGATGGGGAGGAAAGTGGAGAGAAAAGTAAAAAAAAACTAAAAACATAAGAAACAACTGAATAAGAACGGGGTGCTATAGCCTATTCCAGAGGCCACTGCCATGCAAAAAGTTTCTAGGCCTCGACCGATTTTTCGTGCAAAGTGTCGGCATTCAAGCACTGCGTTTGATTGAGGGCCTGTCGTCAAGGTGGGCTAATGCAGCCTCTGCATGCAGGGCAGTGACAAAAAACGTGGTCTATCATTTCATTGCTGCCCTAATGTTCGCAAGCAGCACAGGCACAATGGTGTCAGAACAACTACGGTGTCGTCTAACATAAGAAAGAAAGAAATGGCCATAGTCTCGTGCTTTGTCGTGTAGCAGGGGTACATGTGGAGGCACTGAGGGGAGAAACACACGCACACACAGTGATCAAAGGAAAGTTTAATTATGTACAACTTCAGCGAAAGCATTTAAGCATTCAATGGAACTGAATTCAAAATTGCGAATCTACAAAGAATAAAGAAAATTGGATTGTTAATGTTATGATGAAAAATGAAAAACTAAAAGCAATTGGCACTTCTGCTTGTAGCTGAATGTGAAAGCCGAAGCGTACAGTATGAGCTTAAAGATAAAGCAAACCATTAAAATAGCACTGCGTGTAAAGCAAAATACAAGCATGTTTGTCTTTCTCTAAAAATGAAGACAATTAAAAAGATGATAGCAAAAACATTGGACACAAACAAAATATGTAGAACATATTTATGTCAACCCCTCATATTGTATGAACAGTGGCCAATGAGGAGATCTCTTGTAGCTGAATGTGAAAGCCATAGCGTACAGTATGAGCTTAAAGATAAAGCAAAGCATTAAAATAGCACTGCGTGTAAAGCAAAATACAAGCATGTTTGTCTTTCTCTAAAAATGAATACGAGTAAAAAGATGATAGCAAAAACATTGGACACAAACAAAATATGTAGAACATATTTATGTCAACCCCTCATATTGTATGAACAGTGGCCAATGAGGAGATCTCTTGTAGCTGAATGTGAAAGCCATAGCGTACAGTATGAGCTTAAAGATAAAGCAAACCATTAAAATACTTACTGATTAAGTGAGTCAATAATTAAAATGCCGGATGATGTAAAAAAAAAATCTCCCACTGCCTATGAGCCGGCAGTATGAATAAAACATATGCACTGCTTCAGCCTATGTGCTACGAGTCTGCTTGCCAAGTATGTTTGAAAAAAAAAAAAATGGCAAAGATGGCAAGCTAGCAGCTGAAATTGCGATATTGGCTCAGTCACACACAAAGCCCCTTTTTGCCATGAGCAAATCGAACCTTCTGTTTGAGCGCACCTTGCCCAGGATGGTGCGCACTTGGCGCTGCCGAGTAGCCGTGCGCTGGCTCGGAGAAATGCGTGCCCGAACTGGCTCCCGCAGCGGCACAGTCTTCGCCTTATTCACGATCAGCCTGGGAATGCGCGAAGCAGCCTTGGGTGTCTGCGATGTGTCGGGGTGAGGGATATTGTTGAGACGGGCAGCCGACTGGGGTGTTCGACCAGCAGAGCTCGCGAGGATGTTGCGGCGGGCAGCACAGTGCACCACGGACTTCATCTTGTCGAATTCGGCAGCGTGAAGCTTGGAAAAGTTTGGAGTCTTCTTCACTTTAGACGCAGACTTTGGCCCGGGGGTCCTGTTGGCAGCTACGGCACGCTTTGGCGGCGCCACATCCACGGGCTGCACAAATTCGGGGCTCGACTCTGCCGCGGTTGTGTCGGGGGCAAATGTCACAGAGCTGTTTTCTGCAAGGTTAAAAGTAATGACTTCTCAAAATGTTCTCGTGTGCACTGGCGAGAAACATTGAGATTGGTCAATGCAAACGAAAACTGAAGCTTCAATAAAAATGAAAAATGGTCACCCACATGACAAAATATTACAAGGGAAGTCTCTAATAAAGTTGTTTACTAAATAATAAGGTTGTTTACTATTACAAGAAAAGTCTACACATCTTTCTTTAAAAAAAAAAAAGACACCACAGCTGAAAAAATCTGATTTAATGAAAATCATGGTCACTGACCAGGCCAACAGTAAGTTTACATTCAGTGCATTATGAGCAAAGAACATGCACAAGTTCCGAAATTTCAGAGTAGTTATATTTACACTTAGCGGGCGGTCATAAATAATAAACAGGCCCCTAAACCACATCCGGTGATTTTTTTTTTTTTTTACATTTCCAGTAAACACATATTGAGTTCAAAACGCTGACGCAATTAATAATGCCAAACGCGGCAGCTCTAAGAGCTGCGATGCTCCGCGAATTCCGAGAAACGACCCTTTCTTTCTGGGCCTTTCAGTGGTAATCCTCAAAGTTCGCCATGGCGTCAATATGCTCTCTCCTCGTGCCATTGACAAAAAAAATTAAGGCAAGTTCGCACTAGTGGTGCCTCGTTTGGAGGAACTAGAGATTGGTGGCATTCCTCGTCTAATTCCTTGTCTCTCTCTCTCTCTCTCTCTTTTTTTTGGTCTTTCCTCTCTGCCTTCTGTTTCGCCTTATTCTCACATTTCTCTTTATTTCTTGCTCCTTTCTATGTCTTTCTCCTTGTCCATCTCTGTTTTGTGTTTCCATCTTTCGCTCTGTATCTTTTGTACCTTTATCTGCTTTTATTTTTCTCCCCTTTCTCTATTTCACTGTTTTTCTTTTTCTGATCTCTTTTCTTCCATTTTCTATACTCGTTCTCTCACTCTCATGGGTTATTGCATCCCATACCCGAGAAATTACACAGTGGGAGAGGTTGTGCCGGCCCACTTACTGCACTGCCCGCGCTAGAAATGCAGAGGTCAGTCATAATAAGTTGTTATCGCAAAACAGCAGAATGCCGTGATTAATCCGCTTCGCTGTTAAAAGAACCTATTTGTCTGCTCGCAGGCACCTTTCGCCCGCTGCTCTTCCTAATTGCACGGTGAGGAGCAGCAGTCGACCAGGAGGAGAGATGGGCCCACGAACGGAGCAGAGCGAAGGAAAGAGGAAAACAAGCGAGGCCTCTTTTGGATCATGAAACACGTGGAACTCCACTATCAGTGCACAGTTTCAAAAAAGCCTTACGACTATGCGTTCATAGCAGAGTCATCCTCAACTTCAACACCGCAACTAAATTTAGTCTAGAAAAACCTGTTGGTAGGCTATAGTTGATGGAGCGCTCACGAACTTAAATGCAGCATCAAATTGTTTAATATAACGCCTGCCATACGCTATTGACCGAGGTACCCACGTCATGTTGTGATCAATGTGGTCCCTGAAGATAATATTGGCTCTTATTCATGCATTTGAATCAGAATTACACCACTACGACCCAAACCGAGGATGGTGAAAACAAATGTATGTGCGCTACATAGGCCGAAATGTTCTTGTTGCAATCGGCAAGTACTGCACATGTCTTGATATTGTTAAGTTTGGCCTGGAAATTCATCTGGGCAGTCGCCGTTGTGAGTAAGCCGGTCCTATGGAAAGGCTCTCAGTCCCTTCGGCGCCCAGTCCGACAGACGCTATGGAAGATTTGAGCAATTATCCAGACCAAACAGCAAGCAAAGGCGAGTTCCCGTCCTTCAAATGCGGACCCTTTTGTCGTCCCTTCAAGCAGAAGCGGTGACTAATGGACTCGGCGACTCATCGGGCAACGGGAAAGCTGGCGTGACCAGCGACACAGCTGACGGCGGAGCGGCGCTTCTTCAATCCTCAGTCAAGTAGCAGACCAGCCGACTGCCTATGCCCGCCAGGCATTGTCCCTGCTGGCCTGAGGAGGAGACGTCGTGTCGCCGCGACGCCACGACGAAAGAGGGCAACAGGGACGGCGTCTTCCTGAAAGAGACCGCGACGGACACCGCAGATCGGCCCGCTAATTGGGCGAGCTGTGCGGTGGACCCTTTGAAGTATGCGGCCAGGATCGTGGGAACTCTCGACTAACGGCACACACACGACGAGGAAGAGCCCTGCTGGCGCCACCACAGTGCAGTGTTCACGTAGACCGTGCATGATTGGTGTTCGACTCTGAGAGGAGGAGCCCGACAGGGCATTCAACCACCACGCTCGTGGTTTGTGAAACCACTGACCTTTCTTTTCTGTAAATATGTGTAAATAATGTCATAAACCATGTTCTGTTTTCATATCCTCCAGCGACCTTCTTCCTTCCTTCGACTAACAACTGGTGGCAGCGGCGGGATGCCATCACCTGCAACATCTTCCTTCCCATCTCTTACAATATGTAAGAAGTATGTTCAGTAAAGAAAAAATGAAGAAAAGGAAAGACACAAACAACATAAACCAGTGCATAAATGACGGCACTGCGAATTCCACTTATGTGCCTTTCCTTGTCTTCTTGTTTGTGCTGCTCACACTTGGTATTATCAAAGTAAAATTAAAAACTAAGCGGTTTAGGGGCACTTTAAAAGGGTCGCGAGACGTTTTCCGAAAATTTTCAAGTACTTGTGTATTCTGAAACGTGGCCAATACTATAGCTTCAATACTACACCTCGTCTTGTTTTATTGTCCAGGTTCATTTAATACCTATAAAAGCCCATTATCCATACCAGCTCACATTCCCCTCCACTCTTCAGCCGACATCACTTTAAGTCAGCTGATGCAAAGTCTCTGTTGTCGACAAAATATGGCGATACAGCGATGTTTGCTGAGCCATAGTTGACACAGCTTCCAGCATCATACTGTCTCAATTGTGATGTTGTAAAGCAGTCGTGAACACTTACAGTTTAACCCTTTGAGGAATGATTGGAGAAATGTGTGCCACTTTTGCTTCAGTAAAAGCTTTCTCCACCACTTTCTGTTGCCATCAGCATTATACATTTCTGCTACAGTGTACCAGGAACACTTAAAAAACCAAGAAAATATATTTGGCACATTTGTGATTCACGATATTGGTGATACGTTCAGTTTAAGTTCGTTTTGTTCTGTCGAACTTTTCTTAAAAGTGGTGTCTCATATTGGGGAAGATAGCTAAGGTTCTAAGTTTATGGTAATTTTCTCTTTTTCTGGATCTTGAGAGATACCCTTAGAATGCATCTATGAACTTTCAAAATAGAAGCAATATAATGGCTAAAAATCATGTTGTAAAAGCACTTGACAAAAAATGAAGCATTTCCTTACTTAGCAGTGCGTACATGTTATATTGTTAGGCTGTTTTTTAATTAGATGGGCATAATTTCGTTAAAAACTCATTTTATTACCGAGAAGACCCTCAAGTTGTTCTTCATTATTAATTTTTTTGCCACTACGAGAGCAGCGACGCTAAGAGCGAAAGCTGTGGCTAAAATGTTTCCGAAATCTACGGCCAAAGGAAATGAATGACAGAATTGATGCTTTAGACAGCCAGGAAGCGCAGAAAACAAGTGCAGAAGATCTCAGCCCTGAATAGAGTTCACGAACCTCATGCAGCAGTTGTAAATGCACTCACGGAAATCAATGCATGTAACGACATTGCATCGATATGGCTTGCCATGATTCATTACCACAACATTATATATGGGCCAATATTCAGGCATAACTGAGGTGTTTGTCCTTATCTACACCAACCAAAGAGACAGAAAGAAGCTAAGACGTATGCGAAGACCTCGAAAAGAGCCACTTGGCTGAACACAACAGGCAGAGGAGCAGATTCTGTACCACATCTGGAAATAAGGTCGCCCACAAATTTTTCCTTGCACAGTTTTTGAAATGTACCTCTGTATCGCTTGCATCAGGCGTTCTTTTGCGAGAAATTTCGCAAAGTATTACAGCTTGGTGCCTTCATCAGACGATGGGATAGGGGTCCCACTTCTTCAGGGACACCTCAAGAGTCAATGAGAGACATACATCAACTTTTTTTCTTGAAAAGTAATGGTCATATTTTGGTGAAACTTGCTTTATACTATTTCTAAGCATGCTAATAAGGTATTTCACAGGTATAATGTCTGTTATGTGAATATTGATCAACCCCGTTAAAGATCCCCAGGCGGTCAAAATTTCCGGAGCCCTCCACTCAGCATCTCATAATCATGTGGTGGTTTTGGAACGTTACACTGTGGTGTCCCGATTACGGCTCGTGTTTCTCAACCGGTTCTCTGGCCCCATGGGGGCGTTGTACATATGCATATAATAGCATGCTTGTGTACCTAAAAGCTGACCCACCGCTAACCCACGAAAGTAAGCTAACCCACCGAAGCGGTATTTCCTGAAGATTACCTGCTTGTGACACACCGAGACCATACCTGCATTGCTTTGCGTATATCCTGCCGAAATGTGACCCATTCTTCGTTCTACTTTCTTCTGCTGTCCGTCCGGCTCACATTCATGATGCTACTTAAGATATTTTAGCAGATTGACGGGACTGCAGACTGTTACACGTGGGGCAGCTCTACATTTATTTCCACATCTGTTCAGTCTCGGCAGTAGCATGTTCCCCGCCTTTCCACCACCTCCGCTCCTGCAATGCCCTGGCCTGCCTCCGATTCCGTAGAATACTTGGCGTCGCGTCGTGCAAGTGTACGTTGAAGCGGCGGCCTCGAATGCTACGCCAGACACGAAAAAGGCATTGCTGCTCAACGCACTTGGAGTGGAGGGATCGCAAGCATACTACAAGGCTGCTGACGAACAGACGCCGCTTGATGGCGTCCAGGCTTCAGGACAAGGTGCAACATGCGACTCGTACCAGCAGGCCTTAGCCGTTCTGGATGCATACTTCACATCGCTAGAAGACGCTTTCTGCGTGCGGGCCCGATTTCGACGGAGAGTTCAGGAGCCGGACGAGACCGCTGT